TATTGTTACGGCCGAGAAGTTTGATATTCGGTTGATTCGGTAGTTTAAATGGTTTTGTCGAGCGGTTGGTGGGTTTGTGTTGATTAATAAGCTTAACGGTTTAAATAAAGTTAGTGATTGGTTGATTTAATAAAGTTGATTGGTTTTGGTAAGTAGTTGTGATTTTGGTTGTTTCGATACATTTAGTTTTGGTTTACGAAGCGGTTGGTGATTGGTTGATTTTTAATCTAATGGTTTTAGCTAAGTGGTTTAGTGGTTTAGTTAATTCGATAGGTTTAATTGGGTATGGCTGAATGGTTGGTAAATTTATATTGATTCAGTATAATTTGATTACTTAATTTTATCGATAACCATCTACAAATATAAAAATTATGAGATTATCAGATGAACTTTAAGCCCACAAACAAATCTGTGTTAAACTGGGTATCAACAAGAATTAATCTTAAATTTTATTTACAAAAGAATCAGTATGTTAATTTGTTTATATAGATGCATTATCTCGAGCAAATAACCAAAAATCACCAAACTTGGCACAAGTATTCTATAAAGTTTGGGAACGGAATGCTAATATGTAATTGTTTAATATAATCATATAAATTTAAACATCAGTTCTATATAAGATCTAAAATGTATATTTCTAATGGTAATTATATAGCAATTTGGCTGTGTATTTTCATATTCATTTAATTCAATAGTTTCATAGGCTTTGATATTTAGTTGGTAGTTTTTGGCTGTTTTGTAAGTTCAATAATTGTTTTTGCTGAGTGGTGGTTTATTTTTTGGTTGATTTGATAGGCTCAATAGTTTCAGATAAGCGATTGATGGTTTAATTAATTTGGCAGACTTAATAGATTTTAGCTAAGTGATTGGAGGTTGGAATTTTTAATAGGTTTAATTGTTTCTGAACTTATTGATAGCTATCTACAAATATAAAAGCTAAAATAAGTTAGAATCTGATTGATTTGATAAGTTTATTTTATTTGGCCGAGTGGGTTGATGGTTTTTGGTCGAATCGATAGGACATAGTTTAGCTTTGGAGGTGATTAGTTATTGGTTGATTTGATAAGTTCAGTTAGTTTTAGCTAAGTGGTTGGTCTTTTTGGTTGCTTCGATTGAGCAATTAGATTTAGTAATTATTGCTTAACTATATATAAAATCTAAATTAATCAATTCGAATCATCTGAAATTCTATAGACACCGTAACGAAGCACGGGTAACTCCGCTAGTTTTAAGTATAAAGAGATGTCTCGGGTAGCAGTTTGGTGTTATTTGATTGATTCGATAGGTTTTTTTTTGTTTGGCCGAGTGGGTTGATGGCTTTTGTTTGAATCGATAGGACACAGTTTAGCTTTGAGGGGTGATTAGTTATTGGTTGTTTTGATAATTTCAGTTAGGTTTGCCTAAGTGGTTGGTGGTTTTTGGTTGATTCGATTGAGCAATTAGATTTGGCTGAGTGGTTTTGTTTATCTATGATAAAATCTAAATTACTAGATTGAAAATTTTTAATTTTATAGACACCGTAGCGAAGCACGGGTAAACGGCTAGTCTTATAAATAAAATTGGTGTTATGTATGTTTGTTCCATAATTCCTCCTAAATAAGTGAACCATTGATAACTCATTACAAAATTTTGTGTATTAAGAGAACCAACGTTATATTTAAAGTTTCAGTTATAAAATAAAAATTCAAATAAAAGTAATGTATAAGGTGTAAAAATGGTATAGGACTTTAATCAGAATCGGTATATCATTCAGCTGAGCGGATTGATACTATTTGATTGATTCAATAGGCTCAATGATTTTGGATGTGCGGTTGATAGTTTTTAGTTGATCTGATTGGTCCAATCTCATACTAAACTTAACTTTGGCCATCTACAATCCTTCAATCTCATCACACTATGACATCATTTCATTGCCCGGATTTTAAACTTATCGCCAGCCAAGACATGTACATGTCAAACGGCGTGTCTAGTAATGGATGTTACAAAGTTTCCACAATTGGAACCTTTACAACAGTACCGAGTGCGTCAACACAGGTGCTTTAATTAATCTCTTGCCTAATTTAGTTAAAAAATCGCATGGCTCGTCTACTCTGAGTTGGATTTAATAAACTCCATACAAAATTGATTAGAAAAATAAAAATCCACGCTTAATGAACAAAAAGCGCTAAAAAAGGTAAGCGAAAATTCAGATTATGATATCATATGATATCTTATATTACAATAACCTGAGCCCCGATAACCAACTCAGACCGCTAGCAAAGGTTGCGTTCTGTCTTGTAGATTCGGGATGAAGCTTAAGGCTTGATTGGATAGAGCGCCGCAATTACACTTAAAAAGCGTATCGAATATAAAGGGAACTATGACATTTAGTTGCAGACAATTTTTGATTGAGATCGGGAAACGAATCGGATAGCTGAAGCATAACCGTAAGGGAGCTTTATAGAGCCTATACTGCCAACTGTTTTGATTAAATGAACCAATCACCTTTAAATTAAATTATATCTATGTGACTAGCCAGAGGCTGATTCGTGTTGATCATATTTGTCAGCCATTGAGGTGTAATTAAAAAGTGATCAGTAGCGATCATTAATTGTCTCTTGAAAACACCAGAAGTATCTGCACCTTGATATTTCCACCAAGAGCCTAGATTCTACGAAGGGAGACTTGTAAGCTGTGAATATTCATAGGTTGGTTATTTAAGAGGGGATTGAAGCCAACAGGTCGGTCGGTGGACTAAGTAGATACTCGTGGGTTTCGGCGATAAACTTGCTAGTTTTTCTTTCTCTAAAAACATCAGCTTTTCGGGATGGGGTTTCAAAAGATCTCGATGCTCGAGTACCTCGAGCCGGAAATGTATCACGCCACTTTGGATTCACTGTTGAAAGAGTGTAGGGCCGAGTTGATGGTGAGATGCTCTGAGCGAGGTACTGGCTTGGGCTTTTTATTTTCTAATGCCCTACTTTAGGCCTTTCCAGTGATGGCACGAAGCAAGATCTCGCTTGTAGGCTATTAAAATGGGTATTTGGTTTGCTGAAATTTTTAGCGCCTATCTAGGACCATCCCAATTTGATATTGAACATCTTACTCTTAGAGACAAAACTATAAGCCGGGAAAGTTGGCTTCCACTCCGCATCTCTCAATAAAACGCGAAACCACGATCGAACTCAAAAAGAGGGATTTTGAATATATTGATAGGGAACTCTTGTGTGAGGAGTATGGCCTCATCGATTACTGCACCCTCTCAATTAATGAGCTGACTTTTTTGGAGCATCTGGGAACGGGAGGTTTTAAAGATTGCCATCGCGGGAAGTTTCGCAGCGTAAGTCATTGTTAATTATCGTGCTTTCGATTCTAAACTCTTTTCCAGGTAAACGTGGCTATCCTTGAATTTCGGGCGGAGAAGGCTAGAAAAATGGACATACCTTTTTTCAAAAAATGAATTAGAAATTTTGAGGTATTCTAATTTTTAGGCTGAGCTTAATACATCAAATATTAGAAGGATTAAACACCCTAATATCGTAACCGTCCATGGAGTTGTTGGGCATGAATCCAGGCTTATGGTTGTAACCGAACTTTGTATCAATGGAGACCTGTTGAGCTATATGGGAAAAACTCCCAAACCTCCATTTTACCAAACAGGTAAACTTCTCTAGGCATTCAACATTTGAAGCTCCAACTTATGAAAGATTTGGCCCAGGCGGTCAATTATCTCCATACCCTTACTCCTCCAATTGTTCATAGAGTAATTCTAAGTTGCGCGTCGTTAAATTTAAACTTTATTTTTGAAGGACCTAAAGCCGGACAACGTGCTTGTAAACTATACCCCAATGTACGGAGCTAACCGTTTTTCAAAGATAGATGATAATGCTACTGCAAAACTTACTGACTTTGGGGAAGCTCATATATGGGAGGACCCGACCCAATTGATGAAAAAATACTGTGGAACGCGGAATTGGTACGTAGACTTTTAAGGCTTAAATAACCATTTTAAAGGCAGGGTAAGGGTGATTTAATCGACGTCTGATCTTTAGCGCCCGAATATCATACCTGTACGACAAAGGGGTATACTGAAAAGGTAACGTTAACTTTTTGTTACTTATGGTTGATTTGTCTAACTTAGGTCGATGTAAGGCATCCTGTTGATTGAGGATTTTCTAAATCAGGTGTGGAATTAGATTTTTCGCGCTGTCGTTGATCTTTTGGCAAATTTTGCTATGGGATTGTAACAAGATCCCTACAAGTACTGCCATGTTGGTATTTTTGCCACCGAAGGTAATATTCTGTTTGGCTTGCCGCTCACGACTAGTTTCGGATAAACAAATGCGCCCGAGTCTCGAAGGGCTTGAAGGCTACCCTAAAGTTCTGCTTACCCTGTTGGTAGCCATGTGGAGCCCGAACCCGGACGAAAGGCCAAAGGCCAGCTATATCGTTTACCTGTTAAAAAAGCTTATGGATCATTTGCCCACGTCCCAGCCCAATACCAGGTTACCTATAGATAATAGCTAAGCCTTTTTCTGCTTATGAATTCCAAAGGCCGTGTGATTTTAAAAAGTCTACCAAAATCAACGCGACGCCTCCCAAGCATTCTAACTACCTCAAGGTTCTATAAAGGCGGTGTGGATTCTTCGGAGGCAAATCACTCTAGGCCACCAATCTCGACTTCCTGTGAATGTTATCAAATTTGAAGGTTTAAAATTGGCTTATGATTAAAAGTTGATAGATAATAAAATTATAAATATAGATGTGTTATAGATCCGTGATCTTATTGTTTATTATGATAAAAAAGTTTGGAAAAGTTTGTTTTGTATGTGAGCTACTCGTTTAATTGCATTTTAAGGTAGAGTGGTCTTATATAACACTGTCCTATTTAAAAAGTTGCAAGGTTTTATATATGCGGGTTGAATGGATAGGATAGCATGGTACCATCTAAATCGAATAGACGTGTGCGTCTAAAAGGTTGCATAGACCTTTTATTAGGTTGAGTTTAAATGCAAAAAAGTTGCTCCCGGCGGGGATCGAACCCGCGACCTTCGCGTGACTCTAGCATAAGCGGTAACTTATAAGCACGACGCATTAACCACTTTGCTACGGGAGCTTGTCCTTTAAAGCATATATATTTATATCACGTAAACTTTTAGTAAAAAAGGGACTCTCATTTTCTCAGAACTACCAATATATCTACGACTTTTTTATATACAATTACGTTACAATTAATTTTTATCTGACTAACAATTATTATAGATTGGGCTTTATGATAACCATCTTTGTATTATATATAGGTGCTGAAAGAACCTACAATTACACTGTTTTTGTATCATTTAAAAAATTGACTTTTTTCCTCTCATGAATCACACTCTTAAATTTAAAAGTGATTAGTACAATCCCAGAACATCTGCATGCCTGTGAAGTACTGCACCTATAGAGCAGTACACCACAGCTATAACACCTAGTGTAAGTAGGTCTTTCTGCCCATCTGTGCAAAGCATAAAGAAATGGACAGCTTGTTTGCACCAACTACAAAATTAATTACAAAGTATGCCAATATGGATACATCATCTGGATGACTTCTGGCTGACAAAGGCCTCAACATGACTAATAATAGTAGAGTCCTGATAAATAGCTGCTTGACAGATAACAAGTTATCTATATGAATGACCAAAATACAATTGAACTTGACCAAAGCCCACACAAACCCAGTGACAAGTGCAGCTAATGCAACTGACTCCTCAGGGTTGGTTTCCACCAAAAACCAGACAATTGACAATATCCTCAGAGAGTGCAAAGCAATTCTGAGAACAGCAGCGTCAAGGATATTTCCCACTAAACCTCAGTTTGGTGAAGGGATTGGGGCCTTGCAGAGGAAAACTTAAAAAAAACAAAAAACCCTGATGGAGTTTTGGTTGGATCAGATACTAAATCCAATTTGTACAGCAAAAACCAAGGGCCTAGTCCATCTGGGTAACAACAAAAGATGTTTGCAACTGAGATAGAGAAAATTTAAAAGATGCTTGAATTAATTGCCCAAAAAATATGTTGGAGACCAGTCCTGACAATAACCAGTCAGGAGGGAAATTAGTCCCTGACCATGATTGAACAGGCAAACTGAGTAAACTGTCAGGCATAATTCCTGAAGAACTATCAGATGCAATCCTCAACAAATTCAAGTTGACAGTGGGGGAAAAATCAGCCCAGAATTGATCAGCAAATTAGAGTGAACCATCAGGGATGATCCCTGTTGGGGATGAAGGAATATCATGCACCAAATCTGAAAGATCAGACACATACAAAAGTTCATCAAAAAAGTAAAAATACTACTGGGAGGATCCAAAACCCTGACATTGGTCAAGTCAGTGACCAGGGTCTCAGTAAAGTACACCTTCATCCAAAAAATCATGTTAGTCCACTGCAGAGTGTCTTCACACAAAATCAAGCAATGGGAGACCTACAGTTCCCACAGACAACTGCAACACAATGGATCTCCAAAAACATTACATCAGACATTGCAGCCATTTGGCATAGACACAAGTTTTCTTCTGAGGCAGCCAAATGATGGCTCAATACCCAAATATTGCTTGAGATAGCAATGCTCTTCAAGGTGTCATGGATCTGAACTGAAGATGCCCTTGATAAATAAAATATGCCTGAAGCATAAGGTGATTGAAGTTAAATTTTGAGAATATTTAAAACTGGTGTTTGCAAAGGCTTGGATGGAAGCTGATATTGATCTCCTTAATGCAATAGAATATAATAAGGCCAGAATATCAGCAAGCTTCACCCAAGCTGTTGGAAGCTTGGTACTCACTCCAATAGAATTATCTGATTATGCAAAATGTTTTCCAAATGTTTTGACTGCCTTCAAATGGGCCTGACATACCATTCCTGTCAACACTGCACTGAAATTATATAACACCACATTATCCCTAGATGAGGCAAGTCCATGGATTGCAGCTGTGTTCAAGGCCACTGAGACCCTACACTGGTCATACACCCAAATCCTGCTGGCTACCACATCTGACCTGATGAAGGCAAGCTAGACAAAGGAGAAGGTGGTGGAGTGGGGACCCTTCCGGGATTAATCACCCAAAGAGGTCATCAACTAGTCCACCAACATATTAACCCTGTTGCAAATGAAATAATGGCTCCATGTGAGAGCCAGTATTGACCAAGTTTGTGAATGGGCGGATCTGGGAGTTATAAAACCCATCCATGAAACCCTCCAAGGCTGACCTTTTCCCATTGAGAAATGGAAACTCTGGCATGACATTGTCACACTGCTGAAGCTGTAGAATGGGACACAGCAGGGTTCACCCCAGAGTCAGCCCAACTGTGGATGGATCATGAGATCTCACCACAGGCATCATCAGCAATAAAAGGGGTCACAACCTCAGACCTGGGCTGATAATGACTCAAAGCAGGAATCCAAATCAAAACTATCTGAAATTGGAAGCAATTTTTTACTGAACTGATGGTAGCTGCACCATATGCCACTGAAGGTTTCTCCCCTTCTGAAGCTTTTCAGTGATGCGAGGCAGGAGTCCTGGCCACCATGCCACGAATTTTCACAGATGGCGGGTGGAACAGTGTTATGGTAAAGGACTGGTGCCAGCATAGCTCAATTACGCTGGAGGCCCTCCAGAAATATCTGCACCCAACGTGCAGCCCAGAATCTGCCCTCAAATGGCACCAACTGGTTTTTACTAAAGGATGCCCTTGAGTGACAAAACCTTGAGATCAGAGCATTAATGGCTAGGTGCATCAATTGCCATGGTATCAGCATACACCAGATAGAAGCGTTCCTCAATTGGGGATTCAGCCTCAATGAGTCAGTAAGCTGGATAATGAAGGGGAAAACCCCCTGAAGCACCTAAGCCTAGCAAAAAATCAAATTCATACAGAGCAGTGGAAGCTCATACTAATAATAACACATGGAATGGGGCCAGAAGCCATATTGAATACATCTGCCAATTAATCAGCAGAGGCTTCACAGACCACCAAGCGCCTAAGTCATATCTAAAAGATGCAATCTGAATCCACCTGCAGCTGGTGGAGGAGGAGTGGTCCAACCTTATAATTGCGATTTATCAGGAGCTTGATGAGGTGCTAGCAGGAGGGGACTTTGGCCACCACTGGGTACCCAAATGGGGCTATATCAATATTGCAATACCAGGAGAATTAGAATGAAAAAGCTCCTCAAGATCAGAATCAAATATAGTGGAGTCTATCTGCAAATGAAACTGACTAGATACGCAAACCAAACCTCATGGTGGGTGACATTTCAAAGCCTCTGAACCAATCAGGAGAGAGAATGCATACACAAAGCAATCTAGACTGGACTATCATACTATGGGGAAGTACAAGTTTTTAGCAAGCTGGCAGTAATTACATCGCAAAGTGCCTTCACCCCTGAACAGTCAAATTGCTATATGAACTGGCCCCATGATCGAAGCTGAATAAAATTGCCCTACATAGATTCATCCGCCTACCCAGCCTAAGCAGAGTTGTGTACATCAAGCAAGAAGACATGAAGCAAGTATGTCAGTTCTGTTACCATACTGGCCATACAATGACTCAATGCCACCATTGCAAGGGAAAGACCCCTCAAGAGTATGAATAAGACCACATTGGAGGGGTCATGATGGTTGGGGCTAAAACATTCCTTCACCAAAAGCAAAAAAATGGATCCTGTAGAACTTAACAGAGATCATGGACATGAAATTACAACAGCAAGAGTTGGATCTAGCCCATAGGAAAGCATAGAAATGAGAAGCAGCAAGCAACCCAAAGCGGATGATGAGCCCTTCATCAACCCAAACCTGAATCATACAAAATGGACTAAGGAATGAGCCCCAAAAAGACAGTGCCATGCCCATCCCAAGTTGATTGGATGATTTGTGAGGATGAACTATGGCAGAAGGTGAACCTGAAAAAATCCCCCAAGAAGGGAAAGGCAGCACAAGACGCCAATAAAAAAATATAAGCCCAACAAGTTGAAAGCAGAAACAAACCCAACTCAGAAATTGTCAGCAAACAAACCTGAGGAGACTAGCAATCTAACAACTGAATCACTGCAATTGGCAAAGTCAGCTGCTTGGAGTCTGACCAAAAAGGCCAGACCCACCAAAAAATCAAATGAAGAGACAGGAATCTGATCAATGGAGGAGGGAGAATCCACCTCTCCACAAGTAGGGACAATGGAGCACCTGGAGCTGGTAATTAAACCATCCTCATTGTCCATCAATAGGGAGATGGGGATGACAACTGAATTCCCAGTGCACAGAAAGCCTGGCAAGACAATCCCAGTTCTGTCCAACTGACCCTGAAGATTGACCAATAACTCCTGCCCACCCTCAGCAACATCAACTACCAACAAGCAAACTTCTATCTGCAATTCAATTCACAACCACAAAGATATTAATCCTCATACCCATGGGTTGAGCAGTCAGAAATTAGAATTGTGACCACAAATGTTTGGGGGATGGTGAGCATACAAATGAGAAGGCGGATGATACATTATATCAAAACAAACAATAATATATACATAATTTTAATATCAGAAAACAAGCAGATTACCAAAAGGACATGGTGCTGAGATCAATCCACAATGTGAAGAATCACTTGTGGTTCCACCAAATAGGCTGTTAATCTCTCTGGACAGATCATGTGGTGATTGTTGCATTAAACAGAAATATAAACCTGGAATTTTGGGAGGGATCTCACGCTGGAAGGATCCTGATAGTGAATGCTATGCATAGGGAAACTGGATAAGAACCTTCAAGTGGTGGCAGTCTATTCTCTGCTGAAGCCCTATGAAAACTGAGTATTTTGGGATTTTTTATTTAGAAGTACCAGCTGAAGTGATGACGGTTATAGCAGGAGACTTAAATTATTGGACAAATGTGAGTCAGGATATGTTCCCAACAAGCGAAAGTCCCAACCAAAAGGCCAATGAAATGCTTTAATACCTAGTCAAATTGGGGATTTGCCTCATGATTGACAAGAAGGACAACGACCTGGCCAACCTAATGCAATGGACATATGCTACGCTGGAGCCCCACAGGCTGGTTTGCGCCTGGATTATATACTGTTGTCATATGA